ACATGAACCGATGCATATATGTTCCTGATTCTACTTTGTAGATGACAGACTAACTAGAGACTAATTTCGATAGATAGTTCTCGAGGTTCCAATGTGAAGCCTTAACAAGTGAAGTTCAAGCATGTTGTATGTGAGAAATGATCGAGTAATATCGCGAATTGATTAAGTTAGACACGTCAACTATTGGATACCGTATCTGGGTTAATTATACTCTCTGAATATTTAAACCGAAGTTAAGAGAACATGGTTCGCACGTAGAACCTAAAAGCCGGACGTCGAACGCCTGAAACACCAACCCACACCCCCATATATGTATGTATTCCTATATTTGTAGTTTAATTTCTCTATCTTAAGAATGTTACATTTTTTCACAAGTTTAGAATTCCCTGTATAAGGTTGTAAAGATTGTTGAGTTTTAACAGAAATTGTGATGTGATCAATGTTAGGCCACCATTGAAAACCTGGAAACACAGAACGGTCGTTTTGTCCTAGTATGGCACTACTCAGCAGTGCGCACCTACGATCATAGACACGGGATTTTAAACCAAGACTTTTCGGCCTCACATGAGAACTCTGGATCACTGAGTTAACATCCGAAGGTGTTAATGTGCAGGGTCGAAGGTTCTGGGTTTAAATCCTGCGTCCGGGGTCGTGGATGCGCACTATTGCGGAGCTCCATACAAGGACGAAATAGCCTTATGTATTTCTAGGTTTCCAGTGTTGGTCTAACGTTGATCGGTCCATGATCTTAATTAAAAGTTTAGAATCATTTGATTTTAGTTAAGTTCAGTTGATCATAATCCTGTCCACGAAAGGTAACTAAGAATTTCACCGAGAAGTCGTGATCAGTATAGTTTCACCATTTTGAGTATGAAACAGCTATCCATCAAAAATCGTCAAGCAGCATCGCAAATTGATTGAATTTTGACTTTTAAACTAGTGACTTATACCTTACCGGTCTAAATGTTTACCACTCACTGAAATGTGCTGGCTTTGAGTTCGAACTTTTATAAAGTCATGAACAATACTACTGTTCAATACATTCTGGTTTTTAATGGTTATCCAGTCACAATCAATCCATAATGTAAACTGTAAAACTCAAATGTTTATAATTTTTATAGAAAATATCATTGAAGTGTAGTAGTTAGTCATGCATGAATCGAATAGATATAAACACTTGCATACATACTTTGAGATCATCAGTTTATTTACATTTATAGTATGTTATTTATTTTCACAGTAATTGTATAATGAATTATTTTCATATATCTACACACGTACTTCACAACACCAACTTCATCAATGATAAATTTATAGCTTAGTATTTTACTCATCATTTCGTGGATTGATTGAAGTTAGACATTAACACCGTTGGATGCCGGCTGGCTCAGTGATCTAGAGGTTAAGCGTTCTGTCACGAGACTGAAGGCTCTGGGTTCGAATCCTATGAGTGGGATCATGGATGCGCACTGCCACGGAAAAGTTCCACAATAGGACGAAACGGCCGACTAATGCTTCTAGGTTTTCAATAGTGATCTAACATCAATCAATTCATGATCTCAATCAAAAACTTAATCTTTTATATTCTATAAAATTGGATATTTGGAAAATTTCAAAACTTTTCGATTTATTAAAGTACTAGTTTATGTTTACCTAATCATAAACTTTCATCTACTTACCTAATTAAATGTTGATAATATACATTTACCTATTCGAATTTTATATCATTTAGAACTTAGTTATGCATGCTTAGCGATTTATTATTTGTGTTGCTATGTGTACATTTAACATAGAAATAAATGAATCAATAGGAATTAAGGTTTTTTTTCTAATCGTTATGTCACTTGGTTGAAAGAAACAGTCATTTATTGACTCTACAATCAACTAATCCAACACACGTATACATCAAATAAAGAGAACTTATGGAGTAAAATTAAGTTGTGTGTTGTTGTTGTTCTTTTCATTTACAATCCAATCTTCGAAATTATTCATAATTTAGGCTTCAACCTTTATCATTCTATAAATAACGCTATGAACGAATATCAGCGAAGTGAACTTAATTTTGGATGCTAAACATTGTGTTTTAACATAATTTTGCTTCATTCTTCAAAAAAAAAATTATGAATACGTAGTTGCCTATTATTGTTGAATGTTGTGAGACTAACATCATTTTTATTTATTTATTTAAACACATAAACATAGGTACTAGAAGGCACCAAATAGCTGTATAAGACACATAAATCAATCGATTTATGTGAGACCTAGGATACTCTTCCGCTGCCCAAACCGAAGTAGTTGATTTTCTTAGTAGGTCACAACCCAAACATTTGACCTAAATATCTGATCCATAAGGCAGTGAAGCAAATTCAGGAAATGCACTCTCATGGTAGCCGGCGACCAACGATTGCTTCGTACGTCATTTGTTCCCTCAGAACACTGAAGCCCATGTAGACCATTGGTTTGGAATCAGGCTTTTCTAACTCCCCTAGCTAGATCCTCCATATCCACCGACCCAGTTAAAGCGCCTGACATTCGCTTTTCATCCTCTCAATTTCGTAAACAACATCTCCGTCGTACGAGAAGACAGTCAGTAGTACTTCTCTTGACTCTCCCCACTTTCGTTCGTACCAGGGTATTTGAAGGCAACTGAACTACTAAAAGACAGTTACATATATATATTTTACAATTCAATTTAAGATAACTTTTTTTTCATTATACATAATCAAGAATATTATTACTATTGGCTTTATTCAATGTCCTTATTTCTTGATCGATCCTTGTGATAAGTATTAAGTGATCGTCAGTTAGATGTTAACAGTTCAGGAATGCATATCTGAATAATGTATATTCTTTTCGATACATATTGCCAGCATCGACGATGTCTCTAATTGGGCTCTTTTTGTCAACTTGTAAATTAAAAGGTTATAAACTTTTCACAAATGTATGAAACTAATTGTCATAATGATCTGTTATAACAAACATGAAAACAGATAACTTATTGAAATATTTAGATAGTAGGGAAGGAACTAGTAGCCCAAATATTCACTCAATAGAATACCTTTTTATCTTGCTAATTCTAATATCCGAACAAAATTTGAAGAAATAGTAACCTCCAGGACTAATTAATGAATTATTAGTATAGGGGTTGTGGAGATTGTTAACTTTTGATTGAGATCATCAACCAATTGATATTAAACCACCATAGAAAACATGGAAGCGTTCGCTCACGAGACTGAAGTCCCTGGGTTCGAATTCCGCGAGCGGGATCGTGGATAAGCACTGCTGAGGAGTCCCACAACAGGACGAAACGACCGTCCAGGTTTTCCATGGTGGTCTATTATTATTATTATTAATGGCTTTATTAATAATAATAATGATAATAGACATCAATCGGTTCATGATCTCAATCAAAACTTAATGAATTATTAAATAAGTAGATTATATATATATATATATATATATATATATATATATATATATATATATTCCTTTCATCACAAGTTTCTGACTGACCCATTGAATAATTGACTACACTTAATCTCTTACTGATATTCACTTTCTGTCTTGATCATTTTATGATCGAATATGTCTGTATATAAACCATTTATGTATGAAATATAATCTTTTTTGTACAGGTTGTTTACTACGTTCTAGACTTAAAAAGTTAAGTAGAGTGAAAAGTTTGAATTATCGTAAACTAATAAGATACTAGCAGTTAATTAAATGTTACTAGTACTCGTTAGATATGTTACTGATAAACTCAAGAACTTTGACTTCTAGAAAACGAATTCCTTATAGGTGGTTCTATCATATTTGATATTTGTCATCAGTTGTAAGATAGAATAGTAATATCCATAAATTTATATTCTTGATTGGCATTTTATATCCATTCTATCATTTGACATATATTGTTTGATCGCCTTTTAAGTAGAACATCTATCTATTATATCTATATATTACGTAATTTCTGATTTGTTTGATTCAAATTTGATGGCCGGATAATTTTTTTCGGGGGGGGGGTCATTGACCTTGAATTTTCTTGAACAGTTTTCAAATGTTTTCTGTACAGGGATCATACAATTTAAATTTTCTTCTTTTTATTAAAAAGTCAAAGTATTCTCATACAAATAACGGCCTATGTAAATTCATTATGCTTTAACCCATCAAATTTGTCATTGTCTTCACAATCTTTCCTCCATTTATAATCATCAATTTATTTCAGTTTAATTTTAATTGAATAGCTTATTGTCTCTAACCTATAAAGTAGTGAGTTAGTGACCAGTGGAGCTAATGTATATCGGGTAGAGACAGGTATATACCTCAGTACAATCGAAGTTGGTCGCGCAATTTCGTGGATTGGTTGATGTTAGACACTATCACCACTGGATACTGGCTCAGTGGTCTAGTTGGTTAGGTGTTCGCGCGCGAGACCGAAGGCCCTGGGTTCGAACTCTGCGAGCGGGATCGTGGATGTGCACTGCTGAGGAGTCCCACAATGGGCCGAAACGCTCGACCAGTGCTTCCAGGTTTCCGAAGGTGGTGGTCTAACATCAAACGGTTCATGATCTCAATCAAAAACTTGATAATCTCCACAAACCCCTATGCTAGTGAGTTAGTGATTAAACGGTTCTATTCTCAGTCACTAAGTTCAAGGTTCAAAACACATTTCATCTATTCCGATTTGAGTAAATAGATAGTTAGTATCATTAGATCTCGTACTTAGACTATATGCCTCATATTCCGATTACTGCTTATACTTTTACTACCACTACGGGATTTAAATCGACAACTCTATCTCTATGCTAATGTGGTATGGCAAGTCGAACTGATATACATACGTACGTACGCATGTACGAAGTTCTACGTTGTTACTGACTGGCTGACCTCATATTCAAATAATTGAATGATCATTTTATTTAATTCAATTCTTTATTTATGTACTACTTCCATTTTACAAATAATAATTAAATATATTTTCACTGATTACTTTACATTTCTAGATATTTGTTGAAATCAATTCTAACGTAAACACATATCAACAGTGAAACATTACCATGGAAACATTTGGAATATGTCTTACATGTTTTTTTATATTTATGGAAATCTTTGGTAGGTCGGTTGACAACCATGGTGACTTTTTTTACAATTTTCATTATGATTTCATTCGGGGTTTTTTTGTTGTTGTTCTTTATCTGGTTATTTTCTTCACTTGATTCAGTAAGCTCATTCACCAATCGATCGAGATTTATTATTATTACCCTCATATTAGCCTTACATTTTAGCTGTCAGTCAGTCAGTGATCTTGAGTGCTGTTTGAGGTATGAAGGGGGTTTTCGCTTCCCGGTTGCGCACATCGTAGAAGGGTTCTTCTGGAGGTACCTAAAAAGGAAATTGGATTAGAGGTGATCTTAATGACCTGAAAGCGTGACCGCAGTGACCAAGAGACAACTGATTGTGGTCGGTCACACACGACCTTTTATGAGTAATTTTCGTGTTAGCTCCGCACTTGTAGAAACCTTAGTGCCGGAGACGGATATCCGTGGGATAAGGCGTGGTGTGCATTTTTAGGGTCGACCTTTTCTAACCCCACCCCTCTTTGTGGGAAGGCGGCATCGCTGTTCTGCTGTTTGTTTGAAGGAAATACCTTACTGCTGTCACACCTCTGTACAGTCAGCAGTATGACTTCGCCTTTGGACCTTGAGTTTGTTGATTTTAGTCTCACCGTTCTTCAACCAAACAGTCTGGCATGGTAGGACCTTGCGGATCGGTTGTTCCAACCAGTATAGCTCTGTTGCTCCATCACAATAGACAACCCCGACCACCACGTCAAGGTAGCAACAACGGTCGGGATTAAAATCGCTTCATATCTTTCTACGTACTGATTATTTCTTCTTGTACTATATCCTTATATGCAAACTTTCTTTTATATATTACCACCACTGAATTAACTGCTTCTATGAATCCGGTGTTCATCTTGCTGTGCTAATGCGGTGTGGCAACGTGAATCGATGCATATATGTGTCTGGTCCTACGTTGTAGATTTCCAGGGGTTGAACTTCTATCGGGAGATTCACCTGTTGGCTTCGAATATGCCGATGAAATAGTTTTATTCGGTGAAGACACTGACAAAATACAGAATCTTCTGATCACTCTAGGCAACAATGCTAGCATGTTTGGCATACGATTCTCCCCATTCTCGAAATGCAAAATGTTGCTTCAGGATTGGGTTGCATTGACACCCGAACTAATGACAGGGAGTGAAGTAATTGAGCGTGTCGACCACTTCACATATCTTTGAAGTTTCATCAGCCCTTGTGGTCTGATGTGTGACGAAATTTCAGCACGGATACAGAAGGCTTGACTAGCTTGCTTTTACCAACTTGCGTCATTTATGGCGTAGGCGAGATATCCGTCTATCAACCAAAGGACGGGTTTACTGCGCAGCAGTTCGTTCTGTCCTACTTTAATGGCTGTGAAACATGGCCGGTATGAGTTGAGGATATTCGTAGGTTACTAATATTCGATCATAGGTGACTTCAAAGCATTGCTCGTATATCCTGGGACCACCGAGTAAGTAATACAGTTGTTAGGAAACGGGCACTTGTTAGGGATGGCAAATCAATCGATGAAGTGGTGACGTTTCGTTAGTTGAGATGGATGAGGCACGTTTATACTTTGACTGCTTCATCACGATAGGCAAGCCTGACCACCACGTCAAGGTAGCAACAACGGTCGGGAAATTTTAATTCTGATGTATAAGTGACAAGATATTAATACTATAAGAGGTAACTGGGTATTTTAGAGTTTGTAAAATTGCCGAAATTCTGACTGGTAATGCATTAGGGTGAAAGTATCCTTTGAGTAGAAACAGGTAATCAATAAACAACCTTACGATTTACATCAAGGTTTGATCTTAGCTACACAAACACTGAAAACCAGAGGTCACTGGTCATCTGTCTTGTTTTGGTATGCAATTTTTTAGTAATGCGAATCCACTACCCTACCATACTAGATCATACCCTGGGTAACACCCGGCATGATCGATCTCCACCGGTCACGGTTTATCACTAGGAGTCAGAAAATCATTTCACGGAATTAGTCATCAGTGAGCACATAAATATTTTTAGTATGATGTTTTGTAGAGATTGTTGAGGTCTAAGTGTACTATATCCATCCGCTATGTTTAGGTTATGAATGAGCTTTATTTAGATATCTAACACTAATGCAAAATATGTTTACAGTGCTTCCTGATCTCAAATAGTTTTTCAAATAAAATAAACTGAAATCCACTAATCATCTCTGTTGTAATGTGGCATGGCAACTCGAACTTATGTACGCACGTACGAAGTTCTACGTTGTTACTGACCGACTGACTCATTGGAAACTCCTGACAATGCTGACAATAATGAATCGTAATATATTTGAACTTAAATTTGTTGGTTGAGTTGTTCTAATTGAATTTCACCCTTTTAATATGTGACTCTATCCGAAATTTATCCTACTGGTCGGTACAATTTGAAGTCATTTCGATTTATGAGAACATCTATAACATAAACTAGTTCGAAAAGTTGTGGTCATAAGAGTGCTGTGGAGTTTTTGACATATTGTTATATATATTACTTATAAGTAAACAAAATGTTAGTGCTCAATTATTTTACACGCATGCTATTGACAGGCTATTGTAGTCAAAGTACTTTTCCCCATATTGAACTAGTCATCTAAATCTCTATCTGTTCTATGTATCGATTGTTTCTGCTAGTCATTTTATGATTAAATGTAAGTTACACAGCAGTAATCTTACTGTATTATTATGTAAGATGAGGATCGGAGGTAGTAGGAAGGAAACAACCTAGGTTTCGTTTTTTTGGCGCTTATCAAAAAGGTGTACCTGTAACATTGAAAGAGTTGATATTCCTTGGTGAATTTCATACCATGTTTCTCAGAGTTAGGTTCAAAGTCGTCATGAATAGGCTACAGGTTAGTCACGTCGCTCGAATGTCTCATTATTAAACTTGGTCACACACGTTCAAATCCACCAGGTTGCGTCACTTTTACCAAGATTACTAGTACATCTTCCTAAAAAGCACCAACTAAAACAGAGAAATGGATCAATTATGATGTTCTATCGATTACCTCCAAACCTCACTAGTTTACATCTTAACATAATATGTGCCATGTCTAGTCCTTGGGACTAGTGGCCCCATTTCTACTTGATTGATAGAATTCGATCAATACTTATAAGGAACTAATACACATTATAGTAATCACCGTCCAGTTATCAGTCAATTATAAAGTCTATGGGATTATATATACATATATTCCGTGAAGCTTCGACAGTCTTCATACTTTAATCGACGTCATCCGATATGACGGAACTACTCTCCATCTTTGTCTACATGAATACTGGTTAACTGTCGAACTCCATAATATATCTTCGTTTATATCAATTTAAATGGACGATTATCGATACATCTTCAAATGTGACAGAATGTTGAAACTTTGAATAGAGATAATAAAAAGACCAGAGAATTTTTCTAGTTACTTGGCATTGAATTTAATCAATGATCAATAAAAAGCACATTGAAACCAATCCAATTTATTAACCAATAAAAATTATAGGATTGTGTAATTAGGTCAAAGAAAGAGACAATCATAATAAATATGTAGACAATGACAAGTTGTTAAAGGTCATATCAGTAATATTATAGTTGTTATGGATTTAAAGACAATAGTGATATTATATTACTATAGCTCTATTCAATTCTAAACTCTTTCCATCCATTCAAGCTTGTTAAAGTGGTTTATTGGATAAAATAGAAGAAGATTGAACTTACATCCAAGTTAATTCAATTGTGATAAGTTTTGAGAATTGAACGCTATATTCGTTTCTTAAGTTATTCTGGTAACCCGCAAGCTAGAACTACACAGCGACCTTAAACATCAGGGAGAGAAATACTTTACTCCAAGGTTCGTTTTTATATAACAAACATGGGTATTTATAGATGTTAACGTTTGTTAAATCAACATCATATTTCGGCCAATTTGTTAACGACATATCATGCGACTGACCAATGGTAGCACGCCATGTTGGAATTCTAGAATGCTCCATCATGCTCTGAAGGGCTATGACTCTTCAGCTCCTTTTGAACCTATGGAGGCTCCGTTGACGTTCTCCGAAATCCGACTCAACAAATTAATTATAGAGTATTATTAACTGGTTAATTGTTATTAAATACATAATCATTACAATTCATCCTTATTACACAATCCAGCGGTTATCTGAATTCAATAGTTAAGCAGAAGGCATTGATTTCAAGTCTCAAAGTAAACATTAACACTGAACTATGGCAGATACATTCAGTCTATAAGTCTGAATTAAGTAGGCTGAAACACATACCTTAAATGCCATTGTTAGTCATTATTAAATTCTCATTAAATACTATACACTGTTTGATCATATATCCTAAGTGTATTTTTCTGTTGATCCTTCTGAATTTGTTTTTTGTTTTGCTTAAATGCTTGTCAAAATAGTGAAGAAATTTTTTATTCAGATCAATTACGATCTAATTTATTCTCTGAAGAAGTAGCTTGCATTGAGTTACGAAACGTCAGAAAATTTTAAAAAAAAGATTTTTTTCTCACAATACTTAAGTAACTTGGTACTAGGATCCTGTGAATAAGTCGATACAAGTAAGAACATAAAGATAAATGATAAGGACTCTGTTACATCCGTGATCCGTTTATCCACTAATATATATATGAGATTATTGTCTCTATCTAGTGAAAGACCTTAACGCGGCAGATTACTCAGTTCAACCTTGAGTTCGCAAATGTATGAATTCTATTTTCATTAAACAACCTCAACAATCTATAACTTGATAAGTTGGCGAACGAACTCAGAAAGAAGTTGAATAATTACTGAGTTGCATTAACTTGAATCAATATATGTGATGATCAAGAAATGGTGGAGAAGATTTGTAGTTCAGTTGGATGATTTTGATGGAGTTTTATTCTCTGAACTAGATGATTTTATTGTGAAGCTTTCATCGTTCTACTGAACAACATCATTTGTGTTTGTTCTGATGATGTCATTCAAAAGAACGATGAAATCTCCACAATCAGATCATTCAGCTCAGAGAACAAAACTCCATCAAAAAGATTATCAATGTCATGTGTGTCAAGTTCTATTTAGTGCAGATCGAATTATATGTTGAATCACTTAGACTAGTGACCACATTGTAACTTCTTGGTCGATAATATTTACCTTCCCTTAAATCGTGAGATCGTGAGACCGATGCATATATGTGACTGGTCCAACGTGTTAAACTGACTTACTGATAGCATTTGATTTACACTAAGAAGGACCTGACAAACATGACATTGATCACCATCAAGTGATCAATCAATTGTAAATACATTTCAGTCCTACAGATGGTTAGTTACGGCCCGAATAACCCAGTGGTAAGATCTCTGACTATGAAGCCGGTTGACACGGGATTGAATCCGTTAGGGAGCATCAGTTCCCTCAAGATTACAGATACATCTTGTTGATCAGTGGTAAATAGCACGAAACTCGGGTCCAGGGTTTCCTGTTGACTATCTCCAACCACCATCTTAAATTACAATGATTTTTCGATTTCATTAAATTTCCATACTATTTACACAGATTAATATTTAGTTTTGTTTGTAATACATTAAGCTGATTATCATTTAAGATTAATTGATTTGACGGTTATCATTAATTTAATTAAGGGATGAAACTATAATTTATGGATGATCGTTGAGCGACACCAGACTGACTATGAGAGTGTCTATCTACTTACTACGACTAAATGAGGGTTATAAAGCAGTTTGAAGAATAAGGATTATGATATACAGTTGATGGTTAGGATTAGGAATGAGGTTTAAGGTTTTCATCATGAACTGACATCAGCTATAATGCCAGGACTCTATTTAGCCAAATGGGTAAATGAATCTAAGACCTATTATCGTTCGTCCATAAATTATAGTCTCGCCAATTAAGGTTTCTTAAATTGTGATTAAATGTTACAGATGATTGATAGGGAAAAAAAGATGGTTAATATCTTAGAGTCTTTGATAGTCTAATCAATTAACTGCTTTGATGATCTATTCAGATTTAGATTAACCGGTCTTCGATTTTGGTGCGGAATTCATTCATTTATTTTTGGTTAAATAGTGTTTTCGGCATTATAGTGATGAAAACCCTAACCATCAACTATAAATCATAATTATAATTCCTCACACTGGTTTATATGCCTCACTTAGTCTTAGTTAGTAGGATGGATATATTCAAGGTCACTTTAGTCTCCCTCAAATGTCGTCCACAAATTATAGTCTCATCACTATTTTCAGAATGGATTTTGTGGAGATTTTAGAAATTTCACTGGTTGAAATCATGAGTCAATTAGAGCTAGACCACTATGGAAAACCTGGAAGTACTGGACGGCCATTTCGTCCTAATATGGGACTCCTCAGCAGTGTGCATCCACGATCACGCCCCCAGCGAGATTAAAACCCAGGACCTATCCAGGTTTAGCTTCAATTGACTCATGATTTTAACCAGTGTAATTCCTAAAATCTCCACAAAACTCATTCTGATAATAATCACCTGCTCACTAGTGACTGACTTCACGAGATGCTCTTGGAGTTCTAGTGAAAAGTCGTTACCAGTGGAGTTCAACCAGGTGTGTTGTGAGATAGAAACTCACTGAAGATAATGGTGTACGGTGGCGCAACTTCGTTGATTGATTGAAGTTAGACATTAACACCGTTGGACATCGGCTCAGTGTTCTGGTTGGTTAAGCGCCTGGCATGAGACTGACAGGTCCTGGGTTCGAATCTCACGGGGTGTGGGATCGTGGATGTGCACTGCTGAGGAGTCCCATATTAAGACGAAATGGCCGTCCAGTACTTCCAGGTTTTCCATAGTGGTCTAGCTCTAATTGACTCATGATTTCATCACTATTTGTTTACCATATCATTTATATATAAATGTATCATTTTATTCTTCTATTTTGTTTTATCAGATACTTTTTTTTCTCATATCATTGGCAAATCAAGTAATCTCCTATAGAGATCATAAGAAAATGAATTATTGTTTGTTTTCTACAAATATTTATACAATACTACAACCATATTGGTCCATAAAGACTACTTACACTACTGCTACTACTACTATGTAGTTCAGATTATTCGTATGGTCAAATTATACTCAACAATTGAAAAGGTTCATCAAAAGGATTAAGAATCAATCATGATAGCATAGATATTGTTTATCATAGTTTTATGTTGTTTACAATCTTGAATTCTAGCATTTAATTATGTATACATTACCATTCAGTGGTTTTCATATCTTATTCTCAATGTTTAAATGTTTGTATTTTATCATTTTTTTATTACAATTTGTTTTAATCTTTTATATCATTTCCTGTTTATTATGCTGATGTAATCTGATAACTTGATGTAATATGTATAGTTTCAACAATCTCTCTCAGCTTGGTGATGACAACTACTTTTCTGGTTAGCATTTTTTCCATCAAGTTAGTTTTCTATAGGATACGGTCGTTAACCCCATACCCAACCCTCCTCTTTTTAGTGGGGCTTGGGACCGGTAGTAACGGTAGAAAAGCTACAAGCGGGGTTATGATTATAACTAATTAAAAGAGAATGATTGTACCATTTCACCCCCTCTCTCTCTAGATGTATATTCATTTCAAAGAGAAATTATTGAATAATAATGTAATGATTTTCTTTCTTTTTCACCTTAAAGTCTTTCAAAACTATGATCATTATTTGTATAGATATCAATATGTTGATAACATCATTAATTGATGGAAACAGTAATTTGTTTGTTTGTTTTCTATTTTTTTGTTTATCTCTTTTTTATTCGAAAGAAATGATAATTCATAATTGTAGAATTTATTTAGTTAATTCTTTTTGTTTCCCTGAACGCATTAGACGGTTGTTTCGTCCTAGTATAAGACTCATTAGAAGTGCACATCCGCGATCTCGTATGCAGAACTCGAACCCAGGACCTTTGGTTTCGTGGAATTCTCTGGGATAACATTCGTAAAATATGTCCAAGTCATCGAAATCGATGTTTTAAGAGAGTGACACCAATTGAATTATTGCCCCTGTACCTGAACACATGATGACAGACCTCTACAGTACTAACATGGTGTAGCCATTGGATGTTACTAATGCTTCTCACACAATGATAACCAAACATGGAGAGTCGTTTAACATCTTCAATATGTAGAGGCCAGGTTTCACAGGCGACACGTTGAAGATCTGATCTTTTACAATTAGACTAACATTACGAAGGCGCCAAAGATGGCCCAGACTAATATAAGCCGGTTTGGCTTTCACTGTACGTGAATTGATCTCATCAATTACGCCACTGCCAGCACATACACAGATACACAAACCTTTCGACTGCTTTTAACTGCTCACCATCTAGAGTGAATTTAAGTTTGAGGTCCTCCCAGTCTTGTAAAAGTACTTTGCATTTGGAAGGTGCATAGTACATTCCATGCCTACGGCCATTTACTATGAACTGATTAATTGTGGATTGCATGTTTTGGTTAACATACTCAAACTGTACAATATGGTGAAGAGAGTCTGAATCCACAAATAGGAATCAGTAATCTGTCCTGATTTTTGCCCGGTTAATTATCGCGATGGAAATGGATAGGACATACATTACGCGAATCATCAAACTACATCACGAGGCAAGCCCTAACTTGAAAATGAATGGAAACGGAAAAGAGGAAAGCCAAAGAACACATTACGTCGAGAAATAGAAGCAGATATGGAAAGGATCCAGAATCATCAAAGCATTGTTCGAAACAAAGAAGGAGGGGATTTTAATGAATATTATCCAATGTTATGCACCCACCAATGATAGCAACGACGACATTAAAGATCGATTCCACGAGCGGCTGCAGTCAGTCATTGAGAGATGACCAAGAAAGGACCTAACTATTCTGATGGGAGATCTAAATGCCAAAGTCGGGATTGACAATACCGGATATTATGGGACGACATGGACTGGGACAGAGAAACGAAAATGGAGAAAGATTTGCAAATCTATGTGCATTCAACAAATTGGTCATAGGGGGCACAATATTTCCACACAAGCGTATACACAAAGCTACATGGACCTCACCGGACCACACTACAGAGAACCAGATAGACCATATTTGCATCAACAAAAAATTCTGAAGGACAATGGAAGATATGAGAACCAGGAGAGGAGCTGACATAGCTTCAGATCACCACCTAGTTTTAGCCAATTTAAAACTGAAGCTAAAAAAGAACTGGACAACTGGAAAAACAGCAATACAGCCTTCCTTCGAGATACTGACAGACTCAATGAATTCACGATAGCTCTCAACAAAAGGTTCCAAGTCTTACAAGATCTACTGAAGGAAGATGAAACTACTATGGAGGATAACTGGAAAGACATCAAAGAATCATTGACTTCAACGTGTCAAGAGGTTCTGGGCCTCATGAAACATTATCATAAGGAATGGATCTCTACAGAAACACGTGCCGATGGACTGGAAAGAAGGGCACCTCGTCAAGATTCCAAAGAAAATAGATCTGAGCAAATGTGAAAACTATAGAGGCATTACACTACTGTCAATACCAGGGAAGGTCTTCAACAGAGTGTTGCTGAACCGGATGAAAGATGCAGTAGACGCCCAACTTCGAGATCAACAAGCTTGATTCCGTAAGAATCGATCATGCACAGACCAAATTGCAACACTACGGATCATCGTCGAACAATCAGTTGAGTGGAACTCGTCACTATACATCAATTTCATTGATTATGAAAAAGCATTTGACAGTGTGGATAGGAGGACGTTATGGAAACTTCTACTACACTACGGAGTTCCTGAGAAGACTGTCAATATTATCCGGAACTCATACGACGGACTACAATGCAACGTCATGCATGGAGGACAGCTGACAGATGCATTCCAAGTAAGGACCGGAGTAAGACAAGGCTGTTTACTCTCCCCCTTCCTCTTTCTGCTGGTGGTCGACTGGATTATGAGGACACCTGAAGGAAAACACGGAATACAATGGACAGCTCGAAATCAATTAGACGATTTGAACTTCGCAGAAGACCTAGCCCTCCTATCGCATACACACGAACAAATGCAGATAAAGACAGCCAGTGTGGCAGCATTCTCTGCATCAGTAGGCCTCAGCATACACAAAGAGAAAACCAAGATCCTCAAATTCAAGGCGGAGAACAGCAGTTCAATCACTCTTGATGGCGAAACTCTGGAAGATGTAGAATCCTTCACATATCTAGGAAGCATCATCGATAAACAAGGAGGCTCAGATGCAAACGTAAAGGCAAAGCAAGGGTCGCATTCCTACAATTGAAGAACATATGGAACTCAAAACAACTTTCAACCAATATCAAAGTGAGGATCTTCAATACCAACGTCAATGCAGTTCTACTGTATGGAGCTGAAACTTGGAGAACTACAACAACCACCATCAAGAAGGTACAAGTATTTATAAATAGCTGTCTACGCAAGATACTCAACATCCATTGGCCGGATACCATCAGCAACAGCCTTTTGTGAGAGAGAACAAATCAGCTACCAGCTGAAGAAGAAATTAGGAAAAGACGATGGAAATGGATAGGACATACATTACGCAAATCATCAAACTGCATCATGAGACAAGCCCTAACTTGGAATCCTGACGGGAAACGGAAAAGAGGAAGGCCCAAGAACACATTACGTCGGATAATAGAAGCAGATATGAAAAGGATGAATAGGAACTGGGAAGGATTGCACAGGACAGGGTTGGATGGAGAATGCTTGTGAGTGCCCTATGCTCCATCACGAGGAGTAACATACCTAACTGAACTGAACTATCGCGTGATTTACTAGCCAATTGGAATACGACTTCTGCAATCCGATCATTGTACTAATATAATGATATTTTGACCAGCTTAATCAACCTAGAATCCTTATTGATTCGTTTTTTTCTAGCCCTGCCCTTTGAGTTAAGAACACCAATACCAGCTTCCACTATACGAATCATTCATTTCAAACATACCTGGTTTCTAAAGCTGCCAAAAAGACCACATCAAATCATAAAATAAGAAATAACGTTTATATAAGATCAAGTCAAAAGGTGGTTGTGAATGTGGGACACTAATTAATAAACTGATTATAATTTAAGAATAGCGAATCGTATAATAGTAATCTATAGGTCAAAATAAAGCTTATAATAAAAGGAATATGAATATGCATAATCTAATTACTCAATAATTGAACAATAGGAATATATACATAATATTAGTCTATTAATAGCTCTCAGAAGTTACCCATAATTTAAACATATATATATATATATATATATATATATATATATATATATATATATATATATATATATATAACATAATCCCTTCAAGATTACAGATGCACCATTACCGATAAGTGCCAAATACGACGTGACCGAGGTTTGTCAGTTTGTCATGCTCACTACTTTCAATCAATTAACTTCTAGAGTTCTGCTTTGGTGAGTTTGTCAATGTTAAATGTCAAGATGAAACTTGTAGGTCTATTATTCGTATGTTCATGTTATATTAAAAGGGTTTTCTCAATATCTATGCTTTCTTACGATTAACATCTTTAAAATTATAAATTGTATATTCGCTAATATTTTTAAAGCCAGTTTTAGTAAACATATACTTGGTACTATATGCAAAGATGAATAATGGCTAGCAGTTGAATCCAGGACGCGCGTTTCGTCCTATTTGGAATTCGTCAGCTGGATTTTCCTTCATCTCAGAGTTGATGTTCACTCTGGGACTCGAACTGAGTACCGTTCGTTTCGAACGCCATCGCGTTATCCACTTAGCTACCGCGTACTTTTAATATTTAAATCATAATTTTCATCTCTCTTTTACCAAACAAACTGTCAGCCGATCATACACACTAAACCCCTATGTAAGGAGTACAAAGTGTAGTCGGAAGATTGTAAATTGTCTATTTTTTAAAATCATATTATCTATGTCCAATCGTTTTTTCCGATCATCGATATTTACTATTTGTATTGTTCTTAGCTGCTAACAGAGAGTTGCCGGTATATACGTTGTTAATAACTGACTCCTATAAACTGGGTTAGTATACATCAGTTTTTCAATGTACTACATGTATCTTGGAACTCAGTTGGGTCTATTTAGCATCGACCACCTTATTAATATTAACAATGCGAAATAAACTACCGGTTATTAATTTATCAGACATAAATGTACAGGGTACGATTTCTTAAAATATCCAGTCGCAATGTACAACCTTGCATATGAATACATCGGTACAAGTTGCCATACCGCATGAGCACAACAAGATGAAATTATTAGACCAAATCCAAGAGTAGCAGGGAAAATAACAGTATTGTTGGTAATAGAGAAGAATGAGCATTGAAGATTTGACTTCAGAACAAAGTATAGATTAGTGAAATAAAAACAATAAAACGTTATGAGAAGTTTAGAAATTTATAATCTGTCTGAAAACGAGAGACAAAAATGAATACACCTAAATCATTCTAAGCGATCTCATTCAAAGTATTTAACCAATGGTTATTGTAACCAAGTGGGAAATAACTAGACAGAAGTAATCAAAACCAAGAACAGACAACGCCGTACCAAAGCTTTGGGGACCTATTTTTTCAGATCATCGTAATAAACATTTATAAATTGACACCAATAAGCTAAAATCTGGAAATTGAACGTAATCCCATCTGACTGGCCTCGATTGCTGATCGTTCGTCTTTTACAAAGGACAAAAATCCTTTTCTGATAGTCACAAAGGAATCATTTTTAATTATATAGTGTATAAAATATTAGCCTTGATAATATTTCAACTTCTAACTAGAGGATATGAAGATTGATA